GGCTTTGGAATAGCTGTGCCAGTCCTTCTGCGATCTGCAGGGACGGTCCGCGCGGCGGGGCTTGTGTGAGGAGCGCGACTCCCTGCCTGCCGGCAGTGTAGGGGGGGGGTTTGTGTGCGTGCTCCCGCCGGTCGTTGGTGGTGTGACTGCCCCCACGGTTTGAGGTCCTGGTGTGGCCGGGTGCGCGTTGTTGGGGCCAGTGGCTTCGCTGGGGTCGCGTGGTGTTTGGTGAGGGCTATCGGAAGGTGTTCTCCAAGGGTCCGTCGCTGGGTCGTAAGGCGGAGCGAATCTGACGGCGCCGTATTCACGGTGTGGGAGTGGTTGTTGTGGGCTACATGCCCTTGGTGGTGTTGTGGCTGCTTGTGCCGGGTAGGTCCCCTCGGTCAGGATGTTCTGTGGTGTGGTTGGTGCCAGTGGTGTTTGATGTGGTGTGTTGTGGAATTGGCTTTGCTGTGGCTGTTGTGTCGGAGGTCCTGGTTGACTCGGCTGTGGTTGTTGTGGCGGAGGCAGGGGTTGGTAGTGTTGTCCCCCGTGGTATCCCCCGTGGTGTGGCTGTTGATATTGGAGCTGGTACTGTGGTGGTGGAATCTGTATTTGTGGGATGCCCTGCGCCCCGACATGTATTTGGGCCTGCGGCGTCAAACTGTAGCCGCCCCACGACGTCACTGTTGCACCACCTGTGGACGGGTGAGTTGCTTGCCACTGGAAGCTTGTGGCGGCCAATGGGCTATGTTCGGGTCCCGCTGTAGCGACGTAGGGAGGCATGTCTGTGGTGGCATAAAAGACTGTCCCCCCATCGTCGGCTGCTGCAGCTGTTGTTGCGGCGGTGGCGGGGGCTGTGTTCCTTGGCCTCCCCCCATGTCTGGATGTGGTTGTTGTCCATGTTGCTGTCGTGTGTTGGCACGGCCTGCTGTCGGGTTGTTGGGTGGTTGTTGTGTCCCCCCAGGGGTGTGTTGCGGCTGCATGCTGCTGTCGAGTGGCATCAGGATAGCCAGGACGAGCAGTCGTAGCAGGTTGTTTGCCATGCTTTCGCGCTGCGGCGTGTGTGCTTACAGTACGTGTTAGCCTCAGGGTTGCTCCGTCACGGAACTACGCTGGCTAGGTCGGACTTCTGGTACGTAGGTGTCGTCGTAGTGGGTGTAGGGAAAGTTAATGCAGATCACATTGGCATAGGTGTCGTGGCAGGAACATGTCCACATGGTACATCATGTATGATGTTGTTTCGTGCATGCAATAGTTGTAGAGAGTTGGCGGCTTTGAGCACGTAGTCCACGCATGGCCATGTTTCGCAGGCCCAAAGTGCACTCTGCCGGACTAGTATTGTGTGGAGCTGCAGTCTCCCCTTGACGGGCGCGTTGGCCATGAGCGTGCCGCGGTGCTTTCCGAAGGCCTTGCGGCCTCGGGCCTGCATTTCGGCGATGAGGATGGCAAGATTCCCTGCACAAAACATAGCGGGCTTCCAAGTGCCCGTATCACGTGTTGAGGCCCCTTGCCTGTCACCTTGTCCAGCATATGTTGCAAGTGTTTCCGGGTTGTAGACCATATGTACGAGTCGTCCATGTAGCAGCATCCATCTTCCGGCGGAGGTTCCCCCCTAGGGTCCTTACTTGCTCTGGCCTCTTGGATGGATGTGTCCAATTCTTTAGCGACGATTCGTCCAATTGATAGATCGAGTCGAATGCCTTGCGGATGTCGAGCTTTGCGATGCACATAGGAATCCCCCAATCGTGCGCTGTACGGCCAACCTTTCTTAGGATGAGGATCAGTTCGACCCCCTGTCTATGTCGTCTCGACCACTGCAGTCTCGCTGGTTCCTGGACAAGGTGGGCCGCGAGGTGGATGACAAGTTGCGAGTACGTCTTCAACAGGGTTGAGCTTAGCGTGATTGGTCTTGTGCCGCTCCAACCGCTAGGGGATGTCCCCTTGGCCAAGAGTACCGTAATGCCCTGCTCGACGGCCTCCGGGATCTTCCCGACATACAGCATGTCACTGAAAAGTGCACGTAGTCTCCCCCGCCAGTTGTCATCTTCAAACAGGATCTTCAGGGCTTCGTGTGACACTGAGTCCAGGCCGCAGGATTTACCATTTTTCCACCGCTTGCGCACAGCTTTGAGCTCGTCGTCGGTGAAGGAGCGGTATCTGCAGTGCTTGCACTTAAACGTGAGGTCCTTCAGGATCACTTCGAAGTTCTCCTTGACTATGTGTCGAAGCCGTTTTTTGAAGATCCCCTCGAAGGGTTTCACCAACGTTTCGCGCCATAGTTCATCCTCCTGGAGCCGGAGTTCCCAGGATGAGCTGTGCCCGTCCCGATCCACAACGGCTTTTGACTGCCAGAATCCGCGGCCAGCTTTGGCGAGCATGGCAGTCTTCCATTGGCTGTGTTCTCGCCTGCGCATCTTGAGCACTTCCTTCCATTGGCGTCGCTGTTCTTCCCCCGGCACCATGCGGACGATTGCTTGTCGAAGTTCTCGGAGCTCCTTGCTTTCACTGAAGCCGCGTATCCCCTGGCCTGGTTTGGTGATGGCAATGGCAATTTCGGCAATGTTGCTGACCGGGTCCCCTGATCCAGGGGGGGCTTTCGCCAGGATCCGTTCAACTGTATTTGGGGCTCTCGGCTGTCTGCATCCCCAGGGCTTCGGCGGCTTCTTGGGGCGCGGTATCGGCCGTCGGAGGGTGCATGTAGCCAACACGGGTTCAGTGTCGCTGGTGGCTAGGTGTCGTAGTGAAAGCACCATTCCAGTTGCACAGTGCATCCCCTTCGTCAAGATGTAGTCCAGTCTGCGTGCTGGCATTCTATGATTGTAAGGATATGTAGTACGAAGGTTGTGGTAGATCTTGTATGGGCATCTCCCTCCCCCTTGGCCGTCCACCACGTGAGGATGACTTCTCCTCTGGCGCTCTCGGAGTGGATATGGTCTGTCTCTCCCATCGTGAAGGTCTCGTTGAGGTCGCATCCAGCCACGGCTTTCGCGGTGGTGTCTCGTAGTTGCTCGCTCCACTGGGAGAGTATATCGTGGCATTCCCCGACGGTGGCATGGTGTGGCATGTGTCCGGACAGAGTCTTCACTCGTGCGTTGTCGAAGCCAATGACCAAGCTGGTCGCACATTTGAGGAGCTTCGGCTGGTAGTGTTGCAGGTCCCCGGTGTGTGCGATTCCGGTACCTCGCCAGTCCGCAGCCTGTTTCCCGCAAAAGAGTTGTATGTCCTGCTGTTCGAGAGTGTGTTTGCCCACTTCCACAATGACCTCTTGGAGGCAGAGGACGAAGGGCCGGTTGAAGGGATGAATTCGTTCTTTTCGAAGATCACATAGAAGCTGAAGCACTCGAGGTGGTCCTAATCCCCCAACGTTCCATGTCATCACATGCAGTTCCCCGCCATCTGCTTCAACGGTAGGGTTTTGGTGAAACTCTTCTCGTGGCTCTCAGAGGAGCGGCGTTTTCAGCTCCTCCCACTTCTCCGTGAGAGCGCTGAGTCCGGTTCCCGTCTGGCGTGCTAGTGTACTCAGTGTCAGCCATCCCACCCCGATGTTCTCAGCGCTGGGCGGCGCGGTAGTTGTAGCTGAGGCGATCTTGACACTCTTGTACCAGACATTGCCTGTACCGAATTCGACATCCAACTTGCGCCGGTCCCCGTCCATCTCAAGCACCAATCTTTTGATCTTCCCCGCGAACTGTGCTCGTTTGCGGCGTTCTGGACTTTCGCTCATTGCTGCCCAGAAGAACCGGTCTCCCCCTTGCGGCTTTTGCCCAGTCACCACACGGCTTTCGCGAATGGTTCGCAGTCCTTCACGGATGCGTGCTCGGAATTCAGGTTGGCCTTCCCCCTCGCGGGCTGAGATGGGAACAATGGCAAAGCCTCTGCGGAGCCCGGGACGAACGAATCTTCCATATCGATGTCGATCTTAAGCTCGGCCACGTGCTGTTTCACCAATCCCCATGATGATGGCAGGTCTGGCTTCGGATCCCCCGGTATCTGTCGTGCGCACGCTGGTGTTGGTGGTCGAGAATGAGGCCGTGGCAAACTTCCCCTCGAGCATATCCAGCCTCCGTTTGACCTCCTCGTAGGACGTCGAAACGTCCTTTACACTGTGTTCGATTGCACAGTGGCGGTCAGTCATGGCGTCCAACAACTTTGTGGTTCGGTCCACGTGCTCGTCGAAGTTCTGTTCTAAGGTACCGACACGTCTTCCCGCCCTTCAAGCGATTCCTGCAATGACATCGTGATTTGCTGCTGGTTTACCTGAAGGGCTTGTTGCAGAAGGCCTAGGGTGAGGGGCTGATCGTCGCCTTCCGCTCCCCCGGCGTTGCCTGCAATTTGCTCTCTGGCTCGCTTCGGTGAGCTCTGCGGTTGCCCTGTGGTTTCGGTACTGCTGACGGCGGCCATGTTGTCGACGTTGAGGGAAGATATAACTCACGGTGTTCCCGAAAAAGTATCACGTTCAAGTAGGCGACAAAGTCCCCCGCCCACCTTCACGGCGCGGTGAATCTTGTAGGCCCCCGAGAAGTCCTGTAGGCTCGCCGAATGCTCCCTCGGCGTGGCAGTTAAAGTCCCCGAGGAACAGCGCAAGGCCACCGATGTGCTCCGATCTTGCCGATCTCGCCTGCCCGAGCGATGAAGGTGAAGTCGCGTAGTTTGACAGACTTGTAATTCAAGACGCACGCGAGGGCTATGAAGGGAGGCACAGTCACTCCGCTCAGTTTCTCCTGTCAATGTTCGAGGCCCTCTGACTGTCTGACGGGGCTCGGCCTTGGACCACTCGCGGCTTGAGCCAAAATGGCTACTCTCTCTCGCTCGCTCTCTCTCTCTCTCTCTCTCTCTCTCTCTCTCTCTCTCTCTCTCTCTCTCTCTCTCTCTCTCTCTCTCTCTCTCTCTCTCTCTCTCTTTATATATGGCTTTAAGCAACTTACTTTTTTGGATGCCTGTTTGATTTTTTAAATGCTCATTTAAGAAAAGATGCCAGTTAATTTTTGTTAAGGCCTATCCCCTCAGCCCTGACCAGCCTCAATCTCATTCTTGGCATTGGCCTCCTCCTCACGAACCCATTTCACAGCCTGCAGCTTCGAAAAGAAGGCGAAGGTTCAAGCTCAGCTGTCGTCGTGGTTGTTTGGCAAAGCACGTTGGGCTGCTCGCCTTTCTACATTCGTGCTTATCTTAAGGCCAGTGGTGAGGGATACTGGCATCTCTCCCGGCTACGATCGCAGGCACGACCGTGTTTCCCATCACAAGTAAGCAATGACTTGACAACCAAAGACGCCTCATCGAGAACTTCAACGGGCGAGAATATAGGCAATCGCCAGCAAAGCAGCAACTCCCACTCGCTATATCGACGGACAAACACGACGTCAACAAACCTGGGACATGCTACACCGCTTCCGCCTCAAACATGGACTGATTCTCCTCTGTGAGGGTCTGCAGCTCGTTGCGCAGCCCCTTCAAAGCTCGAAAACTGGAAAGCCCCCCGTTCCCCGTGCTTGCATCTTCCAACCAATACTCCTGAGCACATCGCCTGAAGTTCTTTCTCCTCCTCGCTCAGTGGAACAGAGCGTCTCTCCTGGCAGGGCGGTATGATCACGAGGGCCCACAGACTCTTCAAGCCCTGAAGCCCTGCTGTGCTCACCGGGACCACAACGTGATGTGGGAAATAATCCAGACTATAAAACCTCAAATCTGAAGGCCGGCGATGCGCGAGAAAGGTGGGGCTCGGAAACATGAGTCTCAAGATCCGGTGCGGAACCGCAAGAAATCGAAGGCAAAATCCAGCAATAAGGTCTGCGTCGCACCGCAAAATTGTGCAGCCTCTTCAATCCTCAAGGCTGTTCCGAGAAACTTGGCAAGGGCCGAATGCCTCAGCGCTTCGCACGCTGTCCTCGAGATTGGCGATCTCCTGTTTTCAGGTGTACTTTCACGCTTTCGGGTTTCAGGTCAAGGCTTTCTTGGAGCTGTCGGGTTGGGGCGGCTGCAAGGTTTCCAAGGATGCCTCGACTTTCCCAGTTCGTCTCTGCTCCCCTTCTGAATTGTGGGTGTGCTTGGAGTCGTGAAGAACCCGCGTGTAGGGTTTTCCGAATCGCTCGGACCTGGCATGGTGTGTCGTACTTGTGATCCACAGTAGAGCAAGGCAACAAAAAGCAGTACCGGACAACAGCGCCGCACTCTGCCCTTCCGAGCCTGCGCCTGCTTTCTTCGCTGCATCCGCTGCGCCCGCTGCGCCTGCTCGCGCTCAACAAACCGACAGGGAGCCTCCCCAGAGCAATGCAGCGACCGTGAGAAAGACACGTGATCAACCCATGAAGTGGCAAAGACCCCTACACTCTCTCGACTCTCTCAACTCCCGAAACGCCCGAAACCCCAGAACCCTGATCCAGCTAAGCCTGCAAACCCCCCAAAACCCTGAAAACAATCTGCCCAACTGAACTACCCGCTCATCGAGCCCTAAATTCGACCTCAACCCGGCACTTGTTGGCCTCCGCGAGTTCCGCCCTGGCCTGTGTCAGAACACTGGGCAGGAATGTAGAGTTCGCAGAGGTTAAGCTTCAGCAAGTTTGACGTCTGGATTTGCGGCGTTCTAGCAAAAGAGTTTGGGGGGCCCGAAGTGGGGGCAACTGTAAGGGCTTTGGAATCGACGGCGACGGCACGAGACTCAACACTGTCGGTTCACGGCTGTTCAGCCTGCAAGTTTACAGCATCGAGTTTAACTGAGCTCGTGGCCTGCATGTGTTAACAGAGGCCTTGCTATCGCACTGCATGGGAATTCAATGCCCGCCTTCTCCACGAGCTTACGCTTCGCCTCCAGCTGCGCTTCGCGCTTTGCGAGGGTACCTCTGTCGGCTGTGTTGTTTACAGTCCACAACATGTCACACAAGGTCTCTGCCCCTGCAGCGCAGCGGCAGCGACAGCAGCAGCAGCAGCAGCAGCAGCATCCGTCATCAGCATCGCCGCGATCGTTGCCAACCCCGTCCATCAGCCATATCATCCTCGCATAATGAATAATCAACAGCAGCACCGCCGACGCGACCGGCATCACCAGCATGATCGCCATTCAACGTCTGTCATCATCATAACCACCATCATCACCACCACCGTCATCATCAACCATCACCATCATCGTTATGTTCCCAGCCGCCCTCATCACTATCAGCATAACCAGCGTCGGCATCGCATCACCATCACGGCAACCTTCATGCTCATAGCATCACCATCATTATCATCATAAACACAGTCATAAGCATCATCATCGTCATCACCATCACCACCACCATGTCCATTATCATCATCATGAGTAGCAGCAACACAATCATCATCAGTAGCAGCAACACGATCACCATCATCATTATCATCGCCACCATCACCACCTGCGGCAACACCATCATCAGCAGCAGCGTTCCCAACATTGGCAGACTCATCCTTACCGCCACCGCCGGCACCACCACCACCACCACCACCACCACCACCACCACTGCCACTGCCACCATGACCACGAAATGCCCGCCTTCCTGCTCCAAACGCCGTCTCTTCGAGAGATCAGCTCGCGCGGCCTCCAGGCGCATCACCTACCGCGAACAGTTTTCGCAGGTCTAGGGCGTCAGAGCTGTGTGGTGCAGGGTATTGGGGTTCTGGCCTTTCGTGGTTCATCTTTCCAGATGCGGGCAGGGGCAGGTTACGGATGAGACGTGGAAACCATGGGTTGCGAGGCGTAGCATTCTTGTGCAAGTCAGATGTAACAGCTGACCAACTCATATGCCATGAAAATTCTCTGAATACTCGTGCCAGCTGGTTTTGAGCTTCTGGTCTGGAGTTGTTATCAACCGCCACCACCAACACCACCACCCTGCCCTCCGAGGAGTCGGTGCCTGCTCGGCTTGGAGGTCTGTCTGGCAAGCCTCCAAAAAGCGGCCAGTCATGTTGCAGCTGGGCTTTGTCGTGCTTGATTCAGGTCTGGAGATCAGGCTTGAGGTCGATGCTTGGGGACGATGGGTTTTAAGTGTTTTCTGAAGTTGCTGTCTTTGTTCCACGATGGAGCCATGGTGGGAAGCAAGTAAGTAGTCGTACCTCGCACGGAAGTGAACCAGTCTACAGGTGTCTTGAATGTGCTCTCTGGATACAGAACCCCGGACGGCAGAGCTCTTTTGGGTTTGAGGTCAGTTTTTGAAGGTGCTCCACGAAGCGAGACAGTCGCAAACCACAACATCTGCACACTTGCTGTTCACTCCAAATGCTTGAACTCCGTCCTAAACCTGAACTCAAAGTCTTTACGACACTCTCATCAGTCAGCACTAACTGCTGTCTCCTGGAGATCTCTGGAGAACTCTAGTATGATTCAGGAATCTTGCTTATTCCTGGAGCACATCACCATCCTGGAGGTTTTCGAGTCATTGCTTTGAGGTTGGAGTTGGGGGCTGGGAGATTGGAATGGCTCCGCCAGCTCTGCATGCTACTGTAAGGACGATTCCACAGTTCGGGATTTTTTGGCTTCGGCCTAGGATATTGAAAAACCGCGAGAATCACTATGCACCTCAACCAACACAGCATCCTGCACGCGCCTGAGACCTCACATGAGGCACAGCCTGAACCGGGCTGGAGTTGGGTTCATTGGCTTGGTGGGTCCGGGAGAGCTGCCGGGCTTAAGATCCAAAATGAGATCTCGTGCTTCGCTAACTGGCTAATGGGCACTTGGCCTTGGGAAATTTCAGGTGCGAAAGCCCCGCAACAGTGGAAGTCTGTCCCGCACCGAAAAGAGTCTGCTTAATTGCCAGCGCTTTGCAAAGGCCAGCATCGAAAACTCGGTGAAACAACAACATACTAACGAGAAGAGATATGGGAAAAGCAGTAGAAACCCACTTACACTCCATGCACCATCTCACAACTCATCCTCGCAGTGGGTCTTGATGGTGACGTCGGAGGTGGCATACGTCACGCCTTAGCATTTCTCGCGTCCCCTTTTGAAAGCCGAAACTGAAGTTGTCCTGTTTGGGGGAGTGGTCTCGTACCCAGTTTAACAAGACTTTCCTAACAATCCAGGTGCAGGTCAGGCAAAAGCCTTCGCCCATCTGGTCGTCGTCCAAGAAGGCCTGATCGCTCTGGTCAATCTCGCCCTCAAGGACCTTGCCAGCGCAGCTTGAGCAGGAGCCCGCGCGGCAGGAGTAGGGCAGCTCCAAACCCTCCTCCTCAGCCTGATCCAGGATGTACACGTCCTCAGGGCATTCCTTGGCTGCTCGCTGCCACCTAGAGAAGACTCGTCTAAACGGCCCTGAAACTGAAAGTTACAACGACGGCAGGAAGGTGCTGCGAGGATTCGAAAGATTGCGTGCCATCGGGAGTCTCGAGCGTCACCTTGAAGTGGGCCGGCACACCGGGGCGAGCTGGCACCGTGTTGACGATGGCAGGCACATTGCCGGAGGCCAGAGCACCACCCGACAACGCCTGGCAGCCCATGTGGACGCTTTGCTGAGGTGCCACAAAGGTCTGCTGGCTCGGCGCCCAAAAGCTGCGCAGCACAGCCACGCAGCATGCAGCGGCCACAAGTACTGGCAAGGTGCGACTCTGGGAAGCCATTGGGACCGCGCGTCTACGGTTTCCGAATGCTGGTGTGCTAAGGCCCTCCGCTGCTTGAGCAATGGCACAGACTCTTTACACTTCCAGGACCAAGCGGCCGTGTGAGTTGGTGTGCGCAAGCCTCCACTCGGTCTGTCTGCAGCAGTGGATGCCTTTTCTACACCGGAGGGAGTCTGGGTAATTGCCAGCGCTTTGCAAAGGCCAGCATCGAAAACTCGGTGAGAAAACAACATACTAACGAGAAGAGATATGGGAAAAGCGGTAGAAACCCACTTACACTCCATGCACCATCTCACAACTCATCCTCGCAGTGGGTCTTGATGGTGACGTCGGAGGTGGCATACGTCACGCCTTAGCTTTTCTCGCATCCACTTTGAAAGCCGAAACTGAAGTTGTCCCGTTTGGGGGAGTGGTCTCGTACCCAGTTTAACAAGACTTTCCTAACAATCCAGGTGCAGGTCAGGCAAAAGCCTTCGCCCATCTGGTCGTCGTCCAAGAAGGCCTGATCGCTCTGGTCAATCTCGCCCTCAAGGACCTTGCCAGCGCAGCTTGAGCAGGAGCCCGCGCGGCAGGAGTAGGGCAGCTCCAAACCCTCCTCCTCAGCCTGATCCAGGATGTACACGTCCTCAGGGCATTCCTTGGCTGCTCGCTGCCACCTAGAGAAGACTCGTCTAAACGGCCCTGAAACTGAAAGTTACAACGACGGCAGGAAGGTGCTGCGAGGATTCGAAAGATTGCGTGCCATCGGGAGTCTCGAGCGTCACCTTGAAGTGGGCCGGCACACCGGGGCGAGCTGGCACCGTGTTGACGATGGCAGGCACATTGCCGGAGGCCAGAGCACCACCCGACAACGCCTGGCAGCCCATGTGGACGCTTTGCTGAGGTGCCACAAAGGTCTGCTGGCTCGGCGCCCAAAAGCTGCGCAGCACAGCCACGCAGCATGCAGCGGCCACAAGTACTGGCAAGGTGCGACTCTGGGAAGCCATTGGGACCGCGCGTCTACGGTTTCCGAATGCTGGTGTGCTAAGGCCCTCCGCTGCTTGAGCAATGGCACAGACTCTTTACACTTCCAGGACCAAGCGGCCGTGTGAGTTGGTGTGCGCAAGCCTCCACTCGGTCTGTCTGCAGCAGTGGATGCCTTTTCTACACCGGAGGGAGTCTGGGTAATTGCCAGCGCTTTGCAAAGGCCAGCATCGAAAACTCGGTGAGACAACAACATACTAATGAGAACAGATATGGGAAAAGCGGTAGAAACCCACTTACACTTCATGCACCATCTCACAACTCATCCTCGCAGTGGGTCTTGATGGTGACGTCGGAGGTGGCATACGTCACGCCTTAGCATTTCTCGCGTCCCCTTTGAAAGCCGAAACTGAAGTTGTCCTGTTTGGGGGAGTGGTCTCGTACCCAGTTTAACAAGACTTTCCTAACAATCCAGGTGCAGGTCAGGCAAAAGCCTTCGCCCATCTGGTCGTCGTCCAAGAAGGCCTGATCGCTCTGGTCAATCTCGCCCTCAAGGACCTTGCCAGCGCAGCTTGAGCAGGAGCCCGCGCGGCAGGAGTAGGGCAGCTCCAAACCCTCCTCCTCAGCCTGATCCAGGATGTACACGTCCTCAGGGCATTCCTTGGCTGCTCGCTGCCACCTAGAGAAGACTCGTCTAAACGGCCCTGAAACTGAAAGTTACAACGACGGCAGGAAGGTGCTGCGAGGATTCGAAAGATTGCGTGCCATCGGGAGTCTCGAGCGTCACCTTGAAGTGGGCCGGCACACCGGGGCGAGCTGGCACCGTGTTGACGATGGCAGGCACATTGCCGGAGGCCAGAGCACCACCCGACAACGCCTGGCAGCCCATGTGGACGCTTTGCTGAGGTGCCACAAAGGTCTGCTGGCTCGGCGCCCAAAAGCTGCGCAGCACAGCCAGGCAGCATGCAGCGGCCACAAGTACTGGCAAGGTGCGACTCTGGGAAGCCATTGGGACCGCGCGTCTACTGTTTCCGAATGCTGGTGTGCTAAGGCCCTCCGCTGCTTGAGCAATGGCAAAAGCAGGGTCTAGGGATTCATGAGAATGGGATTTCAGAAAGTACGCTGAGCCGGTTTGCAAACCAGGGTGCCAGTTGAGAGCTCGCTGTTCAGCAGTTCTACCCCGAAAGCCATGCAGCAACCGCCTGAGCAATTGCATGCACCTCTAGAAACGAAATCGATCAATGAATTTTGAAGCCTAGACTCTAGCGTTTGCACCCCAATCGGCAGCCTCCGCGGCAGCTAGAGCCCGCAGTCTCCTCGCGAGAGCGAGTGCCTGCACGAAATGCAGACGGAGCCAATCCGAATCAGAGGCTTGACCCTGCACCGCATTCTACGAAAGACTCCTCCGGCTCCATTTCAACCCATAACTGCCTTTCTCGAAACCGCGAACCGAGCCCTGCACATCCTTCAGGATCTCCCCTCGATCGCTCGCCTGGGAGATGCCAGCCCTAACAACTTGTCAGGACGATAACAATCGAAAACAAATCATGGGTCAATCTCATTCACCTTGATCTGTCGCTGCGGACAACGCAACCCCGAACCGCCAATGCCCTGACCCGGCTTCCAACACACCCATGTGGAGCTTCGACCCTCAAGCCCAACACCAAGCACCAAAGGCCGTGGACTTCACACCTCTGTCATTCAAGAGCTGTTAGATTTACGTGTGGATGCGATGTGCTTGGGACATGGACAGAACGGCCTCGGCGGGCTAGGCCCGGGACATCTTTCGGGATCTCCTGGCGCTCTTCGACCGCCTGACTACATGGCACGACTGCAAGTGGGGAGGGAAGCTGAGGAGTTGTTGCTTCGCTACTTCAGGCTTCGGGTTTCGTGTTAAGGCTTCATTCAGGTTCTGCGAAGACACAACAGCCACGCATAGCCACGCAACATGTTAACCTGCACACGGTGCCTCATCGCGCTCGGTAGCCTCGTCGCCCACGCATTCGTCCCCAGTGGGGGACACGGTGGACACTTCCTCCACAAGCTGAGCTGCACTACCTAGATCACAGTCAACCCATGATACAAGGTACCGCACGTCCGACAGAATCTTCGACCCCTGTCTCTAAAACCAACCACCACACCTCACACTCGAACCCAGCAGCCCTGAACCACCAAAACAAAACAAGATACCTCCAGCATGCTCGGCCCTTCGGCGCCTCCTGCTCCGTGGGAGAAACCTCCTGGAGGATGTCTGGCGTTGAAGCTTCTGATGCCTTCGGCTTCGGCCTACCTGGAAATCCCAGCCTGTAAAGGTTGTACCATGTTGTACCACACTGAGAAGAAAGTATCCAGGACAGATAAGTGCTTGGGCTTCGGGCTTGGGTCCGTGGGAAAGCGGGAAGGGTGGTGCGTTCTGCACTGAGGGCCCACATGTTGGGATTCGTCAAAAGTTCACGCGCCTCAAAAGGTAGCAAGTAAAGCCATAAGTCTTGAGGGTCCGAGGACTTCGGAATAGTTGCATAGTTGCGGCTTGGCACTGAGGGTGTAGAACCTTGAAAGGCAAACCCAGTGTTCAGTTCTTCTGAGCTCAGTTCGGACAGGCCTCGTCCTTGCTGGCGAGCCTCTGCAGATCGTAGTTGTCCTCGCGGCACGGTTGAGCAAGGGAATCCTGCGGATAGAGGTATCCCCCTGCACCGGCCTCTCAGCCTGCCAGTAACGAATGCGAAGGTCAAGAGGTAATGGCTTTCCCGTATCAAGTCGAATGCACGTCGCATCTTACACCACTTCAATCGGTCATCAGAAACGATCTCTGATCTCGCAGCCCTCTTACTAAAGGACACATTAACAGCACTGCATGGGAACCAGCAGTTTCGCAGCGGAAGAAGTCTATGATTTGAGTCCTGGAGATAAACTCTTGCCACCACATCAACAGACACCTCTAACCCTGACTTGGTCAAAGTTTATGTGTCGAGCCCAACGGACCGGATACATGAACTGGTGGCGTGCACGCTGCCCGGAAGAGTTTAGAATGCCTTAGATTCTAGGTCCTTCCAATGAACACGTTCTGGCGTGGGGCTTGGGAACCGGACTGAACCACGCACCCCAGCTTCCAAACGCAACGGCGCGGTCGTGCGTGAAGTTGTGGACGGCCAATAGTCGCAGCGACTGGGACAAAGGGGGCCAACTCTCAAAGACGGAGCTACTGACAAAGAGTCCTAGGGTCCTAGAGTCCACCTTGGAATAGCTCGGGCTAGGCTGCTGGAGGCGTGCCGGGATTCCGGGATCTTCTGTGCGCAAGTTCTCGAAAAATACAGGGGGTTCTTCGCAAATGTCAGCAGATTTCAAGCTCGAAGGCTGTACAAGATAGAGGCCAACAAAAGCACGCCATTCTAGCATTGAAAGCGTTGAGATTTTGGATACTTGCGAATGCAATTCCACACTTCCCGCCAATTCCAGAGCCTCCTCGCGGTCATAGTGATCTAGCACATCCTGCAAGGATCGCACAAAGTCTTTCAACGGAGGTGCTTCAATGTTAAGGCTTTTGGGTTCAAGATTCAACAAGAGCGTCGGTGGTGTACGAGTTTAATTGAGGGCTGAGGTTTCAGGGCTCAGCCGTTTGGAGTGCCTGTGCTTTGGTTGCCCGGGGCAATTTAGCGGTGGATCCTGCTCCTCCCGCTCCTCCCGCTTCCCCACTCCCTTCAACACTCGGGCCTCCGCCTCAGAATCAAGATCTGCCCAACGACGATCGCAGCTCCTGGAAACCAACTGAATCTATGCCAGCCCCCTCTCAGTGCAAACCAGTAGAGTACACCGGTACACCCCCAAAAGTTGGATACTATAGCGAGGATGTTGAGGGCTTAAACTCCGTAAAATGTTTTGGAGCATGAGGGCAATTAGGTTCCAACTTCATGGCAGTCACTGGATACTTCGCTGGTTCAGGCTTGAGGCCCTTCGTAGCTTTGTGGTTCAAGGTGTTTGTTTCCAGGTGCTGTGCTGCAGGAACTATTTGAAATTTTGCCTTCATGAAAGCCATAACGGGACCCCACCTCACAGACGCCCATGTTCGAGAGCTTCAGTGCCCGTAGACAATATCGGAAGATGATCTCAACAAGGCTGTAACCAAGCTCTGGGGAGCCGACGTCGAGGCCTGATTGTCGGAGCTGGGGCTGCCTTGGATCAGACTCCCAGCCTTCTCCCCTGGCGTTTCAGAGTTTCGGGTTCAAGTCCTACTTGTTGGTCTTAAGTTCAAGGTCGATGCTTCGGCATTTATGATTAAAAAGTCGAGAAACCCAGCTTGTCTAAAAACTCTCTCTTTCTTTGCTAGGAGCTAGGAGCGGGAGCAGTCCTCCCGCCCCGCGCGGGCGCGCTGCCCCATCCATTATTTGGCATGGATGGGCTCGGTCTATACAAAGAACTGGTGCCTCTGGTTTTCAGGGCGAGTGGTCGGGTCCCCTTCTCAAGCAAAACAAAACTAGGAGTGTGACTGTCACTGGTTTCCCGCCACTCAAGTTGCTAGTTTGGGTGGGTCCCCCTTCGGCGTTGTTGGGTGGAGCACCAAAGCAGTAAAGCGAAATGTAGAGATGGTAAGGACAGTGGCCGAAGTGGGTGCCCCCCCGAGCACTGGTTCCCTGCCTTTACCTAAACCGCCTGTCGCTCCCTGCCTGACACCGAACAGAATCCTGATCCCTGCAAACAGCACTGCCTGTGACCTTCCACTCGACCCTGAAGCCTGCAGACTGTGCGCCCCACAATACCTTTCGCAAAAACAAAGTCGAGTAAGAAAGGCAAGTTTCAGGAAAAGAGGGTGCGTTCAAGCTAGGCTTGTGACAAAGAACAGGCATGGGGGCTTTGAGGTTGCGTAGGAAGTGAGCCTGTGTAGAGCGAGTGCCCCCTTGCCTGTTCTGTGTCTCTGTCTTGTGAAAGGGTCGTTACTGTAAACCGACCTGCCTGCCTGACCCTGCCTGACACCGAACAGAAGCCTGATCCCTCACTGCACCTGCGACCTTCCACTCGACCCTGAAGCCTGCTGGCAGTACGGCAAAGGCTTGTGCCCCGTACCCGGAAACAAGCAACACAGTGAGAGGTTACTAAGCACTAGTTACAGGGTACCCGGCAGGGTGGGCGTGTGCCCCTCGCCTAAGTCGTCGGTGAAGACTGCCAGTAGCCTACGACGTCTGTGGCTCGGGGCCGTTTCCGGGCTCACAGAGTGGGTCGAGGGGTCTCAGGAAGAAAGCTGTGCCCAGCCCCATGCACTGGTACATGGTAAGCTCCTGTTGAGTGATCACCAGCTGGGTCCCAGTGTGGCGTGGGATGTGAGGTGGGTTGTCTGGAATCATGTGTCTCACGAACCCCATGAGCCAGACGCCTGCTGCTTCTGCAGTGTTTCCGGGAGCCAGGTCTGCCCCGCGGGCCTCCGGAGCAGGAAAGCTTGGTGCCCCGTTCTCCAGTGCGTGTCGTATGTCTCGTGTGCCTCGCTGCTTTCCTTGGAAGCTTCCGCTGCGGCGTCGGCGCTGGTGCGTTGTGGTGGTTGAGGTTGTTGCTGGGGTTGCGGTGGCTGTTGTGGTTGGTCTCTTTTGGCTAGCTCCTCTGTCTCGGCAAGTGGTTGTGGTGGCTGTGCTTGTGGTTGTGGCGAGGCGTCTGGTTTGGGCTCCGGTTGGAGCTGCGGGCTGGGCCGTGAGTGTGAGTGCTGTGTCCAGGTGGGGTCTGGTGTGTGGTGGTTATTGGTCGGCTCGTTGTTGCCTCTGCCGGTAGGTTTCTTCGGCCGCCGTGTGTTGCTTGTCTCCGGGATGCCCTGGCGTGTTGGTGCTGTCAGGTGGGACAATGTCGTCTTCGGGGATGTGTATCTCGGCGGTGGCTTGCGGTGGTGGTTGTGGTTGCTGTGGCGCTGGCCGTGTGTGGTGTGGTTGGGTACCAGCAGGGCCACCCATCCCCTGGTATGGGCTTCTCTTCTTCTTGTCGTGTGTTGTAGCGGTGCTCGGCTTCCGTAGCTTGCTTGGTGCCCTGCTGGGCCTCGACTTGTTGAGGTTGGGTAGGCAGCCGCGACGGCGGTGTGCCTCCTTGTGGTTGGCTGCTGCTGCTGCCGGGGGTGTGGGGATGCTTGGATCCGCGCATCCACTCATCGGTTTTGCGGAGGAGTTCCCTGACATCGACGTCAGGGATTGGGCCGGAGGGTTGTTGGTGCAAAAACCTCCACAGTTGCCCTTCCGCCTCTGCCCAACTCGCACTGTTGGGTTTGTGAAGACTGTATTTCAGGAACTGGGCCTTTATCCAGTCTTTCCTGTTGTGATCCTTGTGGTTGTTGTGACCTTGGCGGCGGGTCTTGCGCAGGGCGAGGCTGTTGCCACTGAGGGTGCGGTTGTGGCGGTGGTTGTTGTGGCCGAGGTCGAGTGGTGGCCGATGCCTGTTGTCCGGCCTGCGGGGGACCCCACTTGGTGGTGGGTGCTGCGGCCAGGGTGGAAGTGTCTGCTGCGGTGTAGCTTGTGGTGAGGCTGCGGGGCTCGCTGCGGCGCTATCCTCTGTTTCCCAGTAGGGCGCTGCGGCGGTGTTGGCTGTCAGCGGTGTGTCTGTTACGGTGGTTGGGTGTGTGGGTCTGTCGTCGGCGTGTCAGCTGCTGGGTCTGGGCCACCTCCTTGGGGTGGTGCTGTCTCAGGCTCTGTCAGTGGTGCGCGGGTCGTCTGCGGTCCCATGTCGCCCCGTTAGCGAGGTCGCCTGGGCGCGACGTCGCCCATGTTGAGTCCTCCCTCATTGGGGGTGACTCCCATCCGCGTGGCAGGTGCTGCGTGGGACCCGCCTTTTTCGAAGAGGCGGTAGCTGAAGCTTCATGGTGGCAGGCAAGGTCTCAGGACTCACAAGGTCTCGAGTTGCTTCTGAGCGGCGGCTCAGTGAGGGCATATTGTTAAGACTCACTGTTGACTCGGCTCGGCATGCAAAGCTGGTGCAATGCAACTGACTGAAAATGAAACATGCAAAGAACATGGGCTTGCACAGGGTACTGAAGCATAGCAGATGCTCTCCTCTCTCTGTGGTCTGGTGTGTGCAGTGTGCATGCGAAGTGGTAGAAGAGGTGGAGCTGTGTCCGGTTGCGACAACAACAAACATGCTCTTGCTGGTGGAGTGGGGTGACATGCCTGGCTTAGTAAGTGTTGCGAGTGCTCCAAGGTTGCTTGTCCGGCCACGGCCAGGTTAGCCGTCATTAGTAATTGCTCGGGGCCTGCGGCGTGTGGGCTTGTGTCTCTTGTTCGGTGTGATGTTGGTGAGTGCAGCTTGTTTCCCGGTCCAGGGAATGTCGTGTTTGGCCAAGAAAGCTTCCAGTCTGTGTTCCCACCCTGCTCTGTCCTGTGCTATCTTCCACCATTCTGTGGTCCCTGTGTTGTTGCAGATGCGGTGTTCAGGATCCATCTGTGGGTGAATTGGCCCGCGTGTCGGGCTCCGACTCGCTGCGGCTTTCGCTGTTCTGTGGCCCACCAACACATGCCCCTCCAAGTGATGAGGTTGAGAGTGGTCGTGTCTTTCGACCTGCCAATGTGTCCCAAGAGACGCCAAATTGATTCAAGCGAGCGGGTGCTCCAGCGAGGACATTCATGCTTGTGTAGCATGAGCCGGGCCTGTCTCATCGATCTGGAGTTCCAGGTAACCCAGTCCTCTCCGCAGCTGAATCGTGTTTGCGCATGTCAGGAGCGACTCGTGTAGGGGCCAGGTAGGCGCGCCCCAGAGTGCGGCCTCCCGCACGATGGCGGAATGAACCTTCAGCCTGCTCGCCAGCGGCGTGTTCGCGCAGAGGGCGCTCCTGTTGGCGAAAAAAGCTTTTCGTGCGCGGGTGGAGAGCAGCCGCCAGAATGGCAACACGGTCAGGGCGTGCTCCGGGCCTTCTGTAGGGACAGCGTGTCCCCCCACCATGAAGGTGTAGCTGCCTTCATTGGCGATGGCACTCGTCTTTTTGTGGTTCACGTACAAGCCATGTTCAGCGAAGAGTTTTCCCAGGATGTCCATCATCTGCTGTACGTGTTTGGGGTTGTCGCCCCAGACGTAGACGTCGTCCAGGTACCCCGAAGTGTGGTGAGGAGGGGGCGGGAGCTTGGCATTTGGTCCCCACGCACTGATTGTCACCCGAGACTGGGTTTTGAGCAGCGTGTCGCCAACAAGGACGGAAAAAGCCACGGGTGAGTCCGGGCCTCCCTGGCATACTCCATTGCTCTGGGTGATCTTGACGCTGGTGCCCCCGAACTGGATATTCATCTCAGCGGCGCGCAGCAATGATAGCCAAATGCGCGCCTCCCGGGCGCCCTTGTTTGCCTATGTGCTCCGTCACAAGGTTGGCCACGCTGGTCTGTGTCGCGGAGTCAAAGGCTTTCTTGACGTCTATCTTCAGTATGAAAAAGGGTCCTCCCCAGTCGCGTGCCATTCTTGCGATCTTTCTGATCGCCAACAGCATTTCGACTGATTGTTTTCCTTTGGCGCACCATTGCAGATTGCAAATCGGGTCAAAGAGGTGCTGTGTTCGGTAGAGTACGAGCTGAGCGATCCACTTCAACATGGCGGACGATATGATTATCGGCCGTGTGTCTGGCCAGCCCTCTGGTGCCCCCGTTTTGGGTAAAAGGACCGTGACTCCATTTTCAAGGTACCTCTGTAAAAAAGCGTCGTTGATCACGTACAGGATTCTATGGGTCCATTTGGTGTCCGTGAGGACCACGGACAGGGCCTCGTGGATGACGCCATCGGGTCCGGCGGCTTTGCGCCGTAGCCACCTGCCTTGTGTGATTTTGAGCTCGGCAAGCTGGAAAGGGTGCCACTCTGTACGTTTGCAGATCTTGGTGAGCTCGTCTCGCATGTGCCTCATTTTTTCTGCAACTTGCACTGGGTCCTCCTTCTAGAAGATGCTCTCAAAGTGTGTCTTGAGGGTCGACTGGCAGTTGGCATCCAGTAGATAGTGCTCCCATTCTCGGGTGTGCGCGAGCCGCTTCTGCGCACGGTAGGCTCTCCAATCCGTTGAGCTTTTTTGTGCCATCGCTTGGTTTCCTGCCTGTGCATCGCTTGGACCTCTTTCCAAGCCTTTCTGCGATCACGGCCTGGTGGTGCATGTTGTGCTCCGCGCCGTTTGTCTTTGAGCTCGCGACTCTCCACAAATTTGTCCATGTCCCTCCCCGGGTTGGTGAGGTCTTTGCAAATCTGCTACTCCATGATGGACGTCTCCTTGTGGGTATGCTCCGTCGAGGTACTGCTCAAAGTCTTTGCGCAGGTGTCGCGGTCCCCAAAGTTTGTGGAACTCGCGGCGAGGGATTTGGCCTGGGAAGATGCCGAGGATGGGTTCGTGGTCGGAGTGTGCCCGGTCTCTGTGATCTCCAACAGGTACTCTTGAAGTGGTACTCCTCGTGTAACTAGATAGTCGAGTCGCCTGGGAGTCTGGCCAGAGTAGGGAAAGTGCGAGGGGAGGTGCAATTCCTGGGCGGGGTACTTGAACGAGCTGTTTGCGCACCATTCCAGGATGGTTTCCCCTCGATCCGTGTGCCCCTTAGGAAAAGCTGGTGCGCTCTCTGACTGGCTGAATACCTCGTTGGCGTCGAGACCAAGGACGACCTTCTGTTGCTTGTGCGCTTCGCTTCGCTGCAAGTCGGCAAGGATCGTGCTGGTTTCGTCGATGGTTGCATGATGCCGTACATGTGCACAGATCACTCCTAGCTTCTTGGTACCCCGTTGAAGGACTATCGAGCTGCCTCTTGGGTGGATTGTTGCGTTGTGGTGTGAGTACAAACTATGAAAGGCAATTGCAGTGCCTCTCCACTCTCCTGCTTTTTTGCCGCTGACCACGGTCCATGTGCCATCGTCTTCAAAGAAGATGCCCACTTCCACGATTATTTCCTGGAGAAGGACCAGGGTCAGCTGCGAGAGCGACGGCTTGCTGAGTGTCAAGGATTTGTGCCCCTTGAACGCTTTAAGAAATTCTAGCACCTTAGCTGGTGTCATTCCTCCGACATTCCAGGTAGCCAGCATCTGGTTCCCCTCTGGATCTTTGATCGACGAAGGGATGTGAAACTGGTCGCCCATTCCCTGGGCTTCTGCTTCGAATCACTTGAGCACGCTGGCGAGCTATTGCCAGTGTGTCTTGACTCTGTCCAGGTCAACATGGATCTTGGCCGAGATGGTGGGCAGGTCGATCCAGCCCTGGAGGGCTGGTGCCCCCGCGTTGACGGCTGAAGCCACCCGTGTGGACTTGTACCACACCTGTCCAGTAGAGTACTCCGTGTCAATATCGTGCATGAGTGCCCCGAGCTCAAGCAGTAGGCGCTTGCACTTGGCGGCAACCTGCACTTTGCGCCTCTTCTCGGGTGGCTGGGAAATGTTGAGCCATAGCTTGGACGGTGTTCCGTCTTGGCGGGTGCCCACTGTCACATTTGCATGTCTAACATGCTTGATGCAGGATTGTACTCGGGCTCTTTGGTCTTCGTCGCTTTCGTTCTCCTTCTTGTGCAACGGTATGATGCAGTAACCACGTCGGACCCCTGGCACGAATGCGCCTTGTGTGTTCAGGTCCAGGCGAAGCGTGTCCACAAGTTGCTTGGCCTGGTCAATGACCTTCTCCGCTTCGGTGTCCGGGTAAAAGCCTCCCATTATTAATGCGGGCTCCCGCGGGCGGGTGCCCTCTTGGCCTGCTGGTTCTCCTTGTTCGAGTTTTGCAAGGCGGGTCTCGATGCTCTCCATCCGGTCCTGCACCTGTGTGATCTTTTCCTTGTTGACCTCTGTGTCCACCGAAATGCTGTGGATGCGCATGGTGGCTTCCGCTAGCTGGGTCTGAACGTTCTGCTCGAATGTGCCAACTCTCTCGTTCATTTGGCCCACTGCAACACTAAGTTCTCCTCGGAGGAGGTCGCGGATGGCTTCCAAGGTGACCCCGTTGTTGCCGTCCGTGCGGCCTCTTTTCGGCGGGCTCATGTCCAGGAGGTCCCTGGCTTCTGCGCCTTCACCTGTAGCTGTGGATGCTCCAGGCGAGACAGGGTCTAGCTGCATGGGCCCCATGTGTGCCCCCCATGTGTGGTTGCGCGGCTGCGCCAGGCATCATAGGTGAAGAGTGCATTCTTGATGTCGTTGCCCAAGTCACGAACACTGAGTCCAGGTAAGCGATCACCCAGCGAAGGACTCGTTCTGGTGGACTGCTGTGGGGCAGTGTGCTCCTGTAGGGCCGCCGAGTGCCTTCAGGTAGCGGTGCACAAACTCCCTGATGTTCAGCACAGCAGCGGTCACCCTCCGGGAACATTGCACAACGAGTTCCGTCGGACAGCTTTGTCCTCATTCCCCTCAAAGGAGAGCAATGGCGCGGCGGAGATACAAGGAGGAAGGATCAGTCGCCCGGGTTGAGGCGTTGCGGGTGGCAGAGTAGAAGCAGAGAGAGGGGATCAAGAGAAGAGAAAGGCGGATGCCCCCGCAAAGTCTTGAACCACTCACGGCCTTGAGCCAAAACGGCTGCGGTCTCTCTCTCTCTCTCTCTCTCTCTCTCTCTGACTCTCTGAATCCGAAACCCTGAGCTCCACCATGACATACCAGCGAAATGTCAGCCTAGACAATGTTCGTGGTCGGGACTGAGGAAATGAAGAATAGAGGTGACTACGTCGAACTTTTGCGTGCACGCTGACATTCCCCTTACAGCAAGCATCCTTGTCGAACTGAAGGGATCCTCTTCTATGAAAGGATATTCGAATCAGACTCCAGTGAAGGGCACTATATTCTCCACCAGGAAGCACCCTGCAAACCCCTGAAGCTCAAAGCGTCCAGCCGTATCTGCTTCAGGGCTGCAAGGAATTGAAACTCATGCAAAAGATCTTGCTATAGGTAGTTTCTCGTCGACCCAATGCATGCGATTCTCCTGCTCATACTCTGGGAATTGCAGAACTTCGGCCTGAAAGTACTTAGTAAGTTGGGACCTCGCGTGAGAGACTCGAGGGTTTTGCCGGTTGACTTGGGGGATCCTGGCTCTCCGGAGGTCGAGGCACCTAATGTATAAGCAATGAAACCTGTCGGGCCACACATCTGCATCCGGATCGCTTCACGTTGAAAAATCGAAGGCAGCCACACGGCTGAGGGGGTTGGGGAGGGATGGCTTCTCTTAGTTGCTGTGCGGGGGGATAACAGGATGTGGTCGAGGACTTCAGAGCTAATTACAGGAGGGCATGCGATGACGATTGGCTGCTATGCTGGATTCGCTCTGCTGCGGGTGCTTGAGCGATCGCGTGCAAAATAGCCGGCAAAAGTGTTGTGGAAACTGGGTCCTAGTTGCCTTGGCAAGCGAGAGACTTGACGCATAAACCCGAACGATTCGCTGAGAGTTTCCTGTCGGCACGGCTTCTTAAGGGCCTAGCTGTCCTAGCTTGAAGCGTCAGAGCCAGGAGCTGCGAGGACCAGCTTTTGACTGGCCATGGACACTGGGGTCAGATCACGGAAAGGGCTAGTCACATCCTGGCCTCAAGGGCTGAGGCTTGCTCTGGTCTATGAACCCGAACACGATACGATTCTCCAGAGGGCGACTGCCTTCTCCAGACAATCGCCCAGCCAGCAGAAGATGTCCATGGCAGAGGCTCGAGCGTCTGGTTCATGGGGCTAATGAAAAAGAGACTTGAATCGGAGCCCGAGCGCACAACCAATATGATCAAGCGCGACAGCGAAAGTGCAAAAATAGCAGGTATAAGTCGCAACATCCTCGCAACATGCTGACAATAGCATGATTCTATTGCTCCGCTCCGCAGTGGAACGAATCGGAAGCTCTGAGGAGGCAAACGCATGGGCGGTGGCGGTACCTGTCCACGGCATACTGCACGTAGCCCAAAGGACTGGCCTCGGATAAGGCAAGCTGTCTCACAGGAGAACTGCTGCGGAGAGCCATGCCACCCTGAAGTTCATCTTGGAGTCCCAACAGTCCCAACATGTTGAGCTCAAGCCGGGAGCTGGGCCCTGGGCATAGTAGCATTCTCGCATCTGCTTGGCACAGGAGGGCTTCTCGAAGTGGTCCTGATGCCAATGGTGCAAGAACAACGATCTAACTTGTCAAAACAAAAACAACAAAATCAACATCAACAGCAGTGGCAGCATTACTTTGCTCGAAAGTGAACGGATCGGCTTTTGCCACGATATTGCACACGTGCCAGGGTCCAGCTCTGGAGCCAAACAACACCCGAACCCCAGGACACTGCACTTAGCCGCTTAACCGTCCAACAAGCCCAAAGGCCAAAACCAGTACTGCCCTCGACAACTCTGTTGCAGTGTTAGAGGCTCTCCGGCACATGCCAGGTTGGCACAATCCCATTGTCTCGACATTACTGACATTGCCTGTGAGCCCATCCCATATCCAATCAGCATCGGGTTGGTTTTGTAAGAAAAACGCGCCAGCATGCAAGGAACAATTTGATGCGATTTCGTCAGTGGGGAGTCTGCAAAGCACACTTCCCGAGTTTGACATCGTGACAGTGCAGCACCCAAGTTTGTTCATGCTTTCAGCTTTGCTTGCTTCTGCAAGCCGGACAAAGAAGCTCAAGTACCCTCACGCGTTCCAAAGATACGCCTGATGTGCTGCAGTTCAGCGGAAGGACATGCAAGCACCTTAAGACCTTCAAAAGTTCAGTTGAAGATGCAGATTTGCTGTTTTCGTAGCATAAGGTCACAAAGCATCGCAAGTCAGTTGCATTTATCTCACGATCACCCCGGCATTGGCCCCTGATCCTGAGACCATCTCTTCCTGGCTGGCCTGCTTGGCCGCTCACAGCATCGCATCCAAGAACCGTAGGTGCCTGTGGCCTTGTACGAAGAGCGGCCCTTGATTTTGAGTGCTTGGGCAGGAGTATTGTGCAGCCGTGCCGGGAAACCTTGCAGGATCGGCGGCATCCGTCAACAGTAAAAGAGGCTGTACGTTTGCTTTGCAAGCTTGTTATGTCAACATGAGCTGCGGCATCGCACTCATGCAAGAAGCTTGGGATTATGAGCCCAAGAGACACAACCAAAACACGCCTCTCACAGTCTCGAAGCGACAGGTAATTGCACGAAACCCATTTGTGACGTCCCTGGCCATTGTGTGCATAATTTAACCCTGACATGCCCCGGAACCCTGCACATCCTTTAAATCAGCGACTGCAAATGAAGGACAGTGCGGGGCCCTCTGCAATGTGGCAGAGTCCATGAGCTGCAGTCTCGCATGCTTTGAACTTGGGCTTCCAAGTCCTGCACATGTCACATGTTTGAGAATTCGGGGGGGGTTGGAGTTTTCAGAGAATCCTGAAGGACCCGGGACTTCGCACGGCAAAGCCACGGAAGACTTGGCAAATTGAACATGTATCACCCTCGCAGTTACTGCAGGTGTGCAAAAGCTCTAACGTATTGTCGATGTTTGATTGCCGCTGACACAGATCTGGGATGTAGAGTCTGACAAGTTTGCATGCGGAGCGTGGGCAACTGGCAGCACTGCTGCACCACTCTTCCGCATTCGAAACAGAGCAGTTTGCAAAGGATCCTATGAAGAGACGTTAAATGGGCAGCTCAGTCTGCTACAATGCCGCAGAAACGGACCACAAGTCTCATGTTTCATTTTGTCTGAAGCGTGCAACATCGAAATATCACCTCTTTCTACCATCGTTAGTCTTTGCATCTCCAGAATCGAAGGCTGATATGAACTCCAAGCTTTTGACTTGTGCTCCCCTGAGTCTGCCACAGTCACTCTTTCACCCTGCGGCAGAGCCTCCGTCTTCTTGAGGCGGGCAGCCAAAGCTTGGTAGTTCTTCTTGGCCTTGGCCTCCTCCTGCCAGCAGAAGAGCTCAAAGGAATACGGGTTGTGACTTAGGTGGCGCAGAAGCTGTCAATGACGATCCAAACTTGAATGGCACGAGCAACGCTTCTGACCGACTGCGCCTTCTGTGCTGACCGGAACCCCGGAATTCCGAACCGACTGCCTCCGACTTCAACTCCCCCGCCCCTCCCCCGACATTTCCTGCTGTAGTGACCCAGCCCGGCCTCGGCGATGCCTCAGCACTTTTGCTTCGAGGACGGTAAAGGCACCTCAGCACTTTACATGCGCGGACCAAAGCCTTACGCCTGAAAGCAAACCCAGGCTTCTTGTACCTCTGAACTACGGGATGCAAACCCAGAGCCTGACTGTGGCGCTGGGCTCGGCACGTGGCATAGATAGACAGAACCATGCCTGAGCAGGTCGTCCAACGCTGATGGTCCAGGAGTTTGAGCTCTGGGGTTTGACGATGAACACCACGGGGGACACACTGATGGAAGCTGAAAACTTGAAGGCAGCCATCCATTCCAAGACGCTGTCACTCGGAATGTGAACCAAAAAGGATGCATCAACTGTGGACACATGATGGCAGACTCTGATTGCCTAAACTTGTCACGACCCAATCCGCATCTATGGTTCGCACATGTTGATAAACATTTTCCTGAGCGTCGACATGGACAGGCCTCCGTCCAAACAGCCCCATCACTTCTCACGAGCTGAAACAAAGCCCGGCTGCCCACACCAATGAGGACGATCGATGCGATGACCTCGCATCAAGCAGAGTCCGAGCGAGACGGACCGACGAGCGATTCCGGCTGCACGGGCACATCGCTTGCATCCTAGAGGCTTCTGGAATGGCCTACCAAGCATCCGAAGCCTCACCTCGCTGCTGTTGCGAAAGCACACTCTCGGCCAACCCCAAGGCGGCACAGCCGGAAGCTGGGTGTCGGGGTGCACATTGACATGGCTGTGCAGGATCCACTGGTGGCCGCAAACTGCAAGGAGCAGCAGGAAATTGCACAACGCCGCATAGCTTCAAAAACTGCGTGTAGGACCCCTGCGTGCTAGTTGCTCTGCTTCCGGCTGGTCTTGGCAGCGAGGCCAGAGCAGCCGGAAGCCCGACTGCGGCGTCTCAGTGCAGATGCTTCACCTGCCAACCCAAGTAACCGAACGGCATCTCTAAAACATGCCTGCGGGTTTCAAGCCACTCTCCTTTTGAGCTTTAGCTGTAAGTTCTGCTTCCTAGACCGTCAACATCCGTCAACGAAACTTCAGACCACTCCTGGCTCAAGCCGTAGTGCACGGAGCACCAGTTTCAGCATGCCTGATACAGCACAGCCAAAAGCTGGAGCTTTTACCCTTCACGTTGACGGCTTCACGATAAGCACCACGAAGTCACAACGCTTGCAACCACGCGATCCATAAGCCCAAGAAACAAAAGCAATAAGCATGTCAGCTTTACGGTTCATCCTCACTGCCCACGAGGGTCCAAACCTCGTCGCGGAGGACAGGACTGCGCTGGCCCCCGTCAGGGGAGGCTCGAGCTCCTCCCCTACTGCTCCCTGATGCCTGATGGCAACTCTCAAAAAAGTTCTCTCAGACTTTGTGTAACACTGGTACAAAGTACCCGAAGCTTCTGGTTCGGCTTGTGTTTAGCCTCCAACGGTCAGGGTCCAAAGCCTCTTGGTGGCGGACGAGGACGGCCAGGCCAAACAGCATCCAAGCAAGGCCGACGAAGACCTGGCCCTGCAGGGGAATTGACCCCGTCGCCGAGCAGATGTAGTGTTTGTTTTGCATGTTGAGGCATGGGGGTTCAATGAAAGAGCTTGTGAAGCTTCCGGTTCCCTCTTGGATTTTGCACCTGCAGCTGGAGCTGCACTTGTGCTACTAAAGCGTCTTGCAACGGATACGCCGGATACGCGCAATGATGTCTGAAATCTGACAGTTAGCAAGCCGAAGCAACCTGCACCGCAAATCTTCAACGGCACACAAAATCACATGAATATACACGGATCAAAAGGATTTTGGGCCCGAAGGCCAATAGAATGGTCCAAACCGGAATCCCTGCCAGCCGTGAGAGAGCTCCTTAAGCTGAACGCGCAGCTCGTCCGGAGACAGATTCTTCCTCAGCGCACTTGAAGCTAAGGAAAGAGGCGTGCACGTGCGTCCCGAACACGAGCCGCGCTAAGCAACCCGAAACAAAGACCGTTCTTAGTCAGCGACTTCATGTGCACTGGCAGGGCCAGCTCGATATTGAGCTCCTTTCGACGCCTGCCGCCCCAGACGGTATCTGGAAATTCAAGAGCTACTTAGTCATTTCATAGTCTTCAGCAATGACAGGACTCGAAAGACTGTGGATTTGACGTTTCGTGACTGCACATGTTCGAGCATCGGCTTGAGGCTCGAGGCGCCGTCAGGTTGGGCATGCTTAAGGTCTACGCAGACAGTTCCTTCCGGCAGCTTGGAAGCCCTGTCTTGTGTTTGGCTGTATATGACTCTTTGGGGTGCGTGAATCTGGGCTTTCTCATGTCGCAGGGCTTAGGGCCACCTACAACCTGTTGCAATGCTTACAGCTACTGCAACAACAAAAGCAACATAAAGTACAACTGCTCCTCCTTCTCCCAGGATCGCCTAACAGTAGCCCGATTATACCAACAGTTAATACTCAACGACAATATTGCAAATAACAATAAAACTTCTGCTGATATTTCTGCTGCTTCTACTGCTGCTACTTCTCCTGCTGCTATTGCTACTACTGCTGCTGCTACTACTACTACTACTACTACGACTGCTGTTGTTGCTGCTACCGATGCTGCTACAAAGGATGTGGCGAAACTGCTACGATGCTTGTAGACGTCTGTAACCAGAAGGACGGCAAGTCAGGCCGCGCGCCTGTTGGGGGGGGAGCCTCATAAAACTCCAAAGATTCATAGTAGCCAGGATAGAGCATCAGTGCCGTCCCGGCGGATCTCGCAAGCACATGAACAGTAGCAGTAAATGATAACAAGAAGAAGAATAGTAGCAATCATAAAAATATTCATAATCACAATAATAACGGTAATGGAAATACTAGTCGTTGATAAACATAGAAACTAGAACAGTAATCATGAGTTAGTAATGCTACCTACGACTACGACTGGACGAGGTCTATGGCGATACTACAGCTTCCGCAGCCGCTGTTTCTGCAGTAGGTCGTTGCAGTGATGCGGAAACTGGCGGTGACTATAGTTGAGATTATCACGATGACCAGCGCGATGCAGATGCTGATGATGATGATGATGATGATGATGATGATGATGATGAGTGTTGTTGTTGTTGATGCTGATGATGCCGATATTGCCGATGCTGCTGATGACGCGAATGATGCTGATGATGTTGATGATGCTGATGGTGCTGATGGTGCTGGTGATGCTGATGATGCTGATGCTGGCAATGATGGTGAGGAGGTGGAGGAGGAGGAGGAGGAGGAGGAGGAGGAGGAGGAGGAGGAGGAGGACGAGGCCCTCTTGCTGCGAATTTAGACGGTGTCCTGCATCTCATCGAAAAGCCTTGCAAGGAAAGTGCAGGGCATCTGTCACATGCCGGCGGCCAGCTCCTGCCTCCGCTCCATTCTGCGCACTGCTGCGTCCATCTCTTCCTTCATGCTGCTGAGGTCAAGCTTCTGGAGTGAATTGAAAGCTGCTTGCATTTTGACTTTCCTGAGCATGCCGGGACTTTCAACGAAAGTTGCGGCAAGGAAAGACCTGCTTGTCGTTGCCGAGCCGCAAGTCTTCGATATCGGAACCATGTTCCTCCACCACCTGGAGCCCGATAGCGACTCAGCACAGCAAGAACCTCTCTCCACGGTCAGCGCCTCGCCGAGCTGGTCCACTTTGCCACCAGTCTCCGCAAATCGCATGTCCACCGAACGTCCCAGGCCCTGAATCACACGTAGGGAGACACACCATGATTGTCGATCTCAGGTGCTTGGATCGTCTCAGCTGCGGGCGTTCAGTCGAGCTTGCAGCAGCTCAAAGTCGTGTGCATTTTGCTGGGTGGCCTTTCTCAGCTGGGCAGCAGAGGTGCCAACCGCAACTCAAAGCTCAGCCGAGCATGGGCTCAGCATTGATGTCCTCGTGCATCTCGCGAACGCACCCCTCCGTTTCTTCGATTCGTGCCTCCTGCAAGCAAGAAGTCATTGAAGGCCATGGCTACTGAACAGCACTGCCACCGCATGCCACCGCTAAGCTATTGACGCAGCGGCTGATGCCCGTTCATGCAGCTCTCCCATCCTTGCTTCACGGTGCTTGCATTGGATGTGCACAAGGCAATCCGTCCAATCAAGCTTTGCCGTTCATCGGTGTCTTGCTTTGGTGAAACTTCAAGCTACCCAAGGTTTCGCCGAAGACACGGAGTGATCTTGGACTTGGACAGTTGGGTCCATCAACGCCCGGAATCTCGTCATTCAACAGCGCGTCTACTTCCAGCTCCAATTTGTCGATGCGAGCCACCAAGCCCTCCAGCACAGGAATCCATCCGACCGCACAAAAAGAAACCGGCATTGACACCCGCCTGCTTTGGCAAGTCAAGATGTCGTTCGTTCTGAAGCTCCGCAAGCGAGGCTTCTGACAGTCGCAGTCGAGCGAGGATGGCCTCTAACAGGCCTGACATCAGGCCAACCGAATCCTGTCTCACTCGCCTGGTTAAACCATGTCAAAGCCTATTCAGCGCCTGCTGCTGAAAGTCACTCAAAAAATTCTGAAGCTTCACTGTGATCGCCACCTTTCAACGAGGAAGTGTCCACTGCCAGCAGAACATCCGGCACGACGAGGGGAGGCTCCGCAGCCATCCGCCCGACCCGGCGCTTGGAAAACACTTCTGTGGCTACTCAGGGTATCTCAGGGTGGTACTACTGCTGACTGTTGCTGACTCAACCTGGAAGGCTCTTTGGGGCTGCTGCCCTGAACCGAAAGAGCGCTACACGATGTCGCTCTGGAAGGCTCGAGCTTGACCTTCACCCCGTCACGTCTCGGCCCAGCACCCGGCTGCGAATATCGCCGCCAGATCAGGAACAAATCACGCTCTGATGCTCGGAGCTGGAGGTGTGTCAAGGCACGCCTTGCGACGTGTGGCACAAACACAAACTCCCTCCTTCCACACAGTTCTACTGTCCTGACATCAGGAAGTGTGAAGCCTTGGCGGCCCTGTGCCAAAAAACTGAAGACATCACTCAATGCGGTGATGTCATGGCCTCACCAGCTTGGCACACACGCTGCACAACTAAACGAGGCTCAAATCGTATGCATTCTGCATCGGGGTCCAGGCCAAGGAAGCGAGCCGAAGCCTTCAAGACTGTAACGAAAAACTACCCAAACTCGAAAGCAATTCCAGTCTCGCCTGTCTTTTTCCAGCTCCTGCCAAAAGAGCACCGGAACTCAGTTGGTCTGGCCTTCCGTCATGTCTGCCCGCGTCCTCAGCAGCAACTGCTGCTGCTGTGATGGTGCGGTGCAGCTGCCCTCGGGCCTGCTGGCCACCAAGGGCTTATTCTCGCATGAACCGGGTTCTGTCGGTTTGCCGACATCGTGGAATCCGAGACCAAGTAGAGCTTATACAAGTACTAAGTACCAGCATCTTGACGAGTGCCTCACGGATGAAACCTTGGGAAAAACCTCGGTGAAAAAAACAGCTTTTCCACTGCAGCATCAGGACTACCCACATTTCGCCCAGAAAACCCCGACCAGCAAAGCTGGAAAAAAACGCAACGGCCCCGCGGCCACCATCCTTGCGGCCAACTCATGCCGGGGAACAGCCCTTTGGAAGCGAAAATGAAACTCAAGAAGAGCCCCGCACCTATCGTCTTTTGCATTGAGGCACTCGGATTCTAGAAGTTCGGGCTCAATCTCCCGACTTCGTGTCCAAGGTCACGAGGTTCAAGTTCGTGTTCGGCTTTGGGTAATTTGGGGCCGCCCAGCCACCAACCACAAAGACTGCGTCTCCAGTTCCGCGCATCGCTTCAGGTTCACTCGCTGTGACATCCGCCCTGACATCGATTCACTGCCAATGCATGACAGTCCTGCCACACCCTGCCACACCCTGCCACCACGCAGCAGCCGTAGTTGCACTGTAATATGCAAAGGATCATTATTATCGTATTTTGCAATATCAAGGGCAATCACACTTCTTTACGGGCCTATGGGCAGCGTGTAGAAAGCGAATACGAGATGGTGGCAAAGTTGAACGGCTTACAGCAACGTGACCTAGCCTGAAGGACGTCCGAACGTAGAATTCCACTGCACTGCAATCAATGTTGGCCTGCTCGTTGCTGTGCAGCTCTCCGGCGTCCACATGGGGTCGTATCCTGCAGCATGAGGCTGAGTTGGGCTGTGAAGGAAGTTCTGTCACCAGGGAAGCCGGGCTTCCAGCTCAGTTGACGCTGAAAGTGCTCCAGGGACACTCCCGATCCAAAGCTTGTGGCATAGCGCTGCCACATAAGATCTAACTCCTTCCAGGGCCAAGCACAACCGTGCGGAACAGGAGAAGTGTCCAACACATGCGCGACCTTCTCAGCCACGGGAATCTGCTGATCCCTGAAGGCCTTGCGGAACGAATGGCATCAAGAGTGTGGCAGAACACGAACACGACAAGTGTCTGGAGACATTGTCACACAGTAATCCCACCTGCCGCAGACCCACGATGTCGAAGGTAGGCTGTCCCGAAGAAATGTAATCTCGGCGGCCGATCGTGGCAACAGCAGGAAGCCAACGTCGTTTGCATCCGAGAAGCAGAAGACCTCCTTCATGCAGGCTTCATCGAAACCTGCATGTGCAGCCAATCTCTTCCGGTCAAGCTCCAGGTTCTCCGCCTGGCGGGTTCTGCTTGTGCACACACTGCAACTGAGATGGAAAGGGCCCCAGCCGTGCGGGCCACAGCCGCCACGAGTCTGCAGAGAGTGTAACGATCTGCAGCGGTTGCTTTGGGCGCATCAAGGAAGGGCCTGACGGCAAAACAGGCCACGATCACCGCACACTACCAGTAGCAAGGGCGGCGGCAACATGCACGTGTTGCCTTGCCACGACGAAGCACCTGCCATCCATGCGGTTTATCTTGGCACGACTTGGGCTGAGAATGGAGTGGACGGCGTCGCCGTGCTTTGCAGGTGTGTTCCCGCCTGAAAGCGTCTCCGCAGTTGCTGCAAACCACGTTCGGGCACACCGAAGAGTCCGAGTCTCTCTGAATTCGGAAACCACCTGAAGCGTCTGGAAACTTGATGCCGAAAGAAGAATCTCTGTCGGCGCATTCTCGGACGCGGGCAGCGTGGGCATGGCTCCGAAAACTGCAGCAGGTACAGGATCGACTTGGCTTCGTCGTCTGTGGCGGAATCGCACATTGCCTTGTGTTCCTGCAGAAAGCTCAGTCACAGCAACTTTGAACGTATTGCAGCGACGAGCCTTGGACTGCAAAGGATAGATCAGCTTCCCGAGGTCCCGGAATGTGAGATAGCCAAGCGGACGCCCTGCGCGGCAGACTTTGCGATGCCGAGACTGCCAAGGCTGCCAAGGCTCCCAAGGCTGCCAGGCTGCCTCCGCGTCGCAGGTTTGCCTCGTGGACCAGAGAGCACAGGCTCGCATAGGACACGGGCGCCTCGTGCTCCTGCGAAGAGCAGGAGTTGAGAGCGCGCACCTTGACCAACTCCAACAGGTCGGTGTCCAGAACATGGCCCTCCATAAAAGGGGCTGAGAGACTTCGCGACCGCGCGAAGCTGGCTAGAGAAGCATAGCGCCTGGCCTTCTCCAGGGGATCGAGGCATTTGAAGAAGGCTGGGAGGCCTAGGACGGAACCCTAGTCACACATAGCCAAAGGTTTTGTCTTGAGCACCGGTCCGCAAGCCCCAGCAGAGACTCGAGAGATCTCAAGGCTCCGACATGGCTCCGAAATTGCGCCGAACCCTGCCTTGGGATCCTCAGCCTCAGCATCGCAGGCCGCTTGCCGGACCATGGCCTGAGCCAAGGAGAGCGCAACAGCGGGAAACAAAAACTTTCCGCAGTTGCACCAAGGCCGCCGGTCGGTGCCTGAAGAGCTGTTCGCAGCATTCGCAGCTCCCAGGCATCTCCGCGCTGTGGCGCCCACAAAGGGCCCTGACAATCTGACAATTCAGATTTCTTCGCAGGCCGCTTCTTGCGGCTGTCTCGGGGCAGAACCCTGGGCAGGCACCTCGTAAAAGCCGTCCGCTATCAAGCGTGGGCTGCGCTCGGAATATGGACTCAGCCGAAGATCCGGTGGCCCGGGGCGCGGCATCCTTTTGGAAGGTCGTGTTTGCATGTTCGGGTGGCGGCGGAATTTGCCCAAGGCTCAGGCCGCCCCAAAGGGCTCTCTCTGAGCCGACCGGTCGCTGAGCTCTGTGCCTGCCCGGCCCGGATATCAACGAGAGAAGTTCGCGCAAAGAAGGCGCCTCCAGCAGGAAGGCCCGGTGCGACGGGGAAGGGGAATGAGGCGGCGCGGAGCGCTGTGGCAGGGGCAGCCGCGGTGCAAGCTGCCGCTCGGGCGACCCCGTCCCTGACAGTCAGAGGTTTGGACTAGGCGTCGACACATGTGCCCGAAGTACCAGCATCCAACTCTAAACCGAACTCTGCTCCTGTTTTCGTCCCCTGCAAGTGCCTGCCCTTGCCACAGAACATGTCAGCTCCGGTGTGCTGGATGCTCAAACACCCAACTTCCGGGATTTGCTCTGGGACGTGGCTCCGTGCGTCCAGACACTTGAACTCTTGCAGTCGTGATGACCCCCACACTGCGTAATGAGTAGCCCCAGGGGCAAAAAAATCTGGAATCTAATTGCATCGCTCTGGCCAAACTTGCTAGCTCAGGCGGGGCTTCTTCGCGGCGAAAAAGTTGGTCAAAGTTGCTTGCGACGAGCAAGGTTGTGTGCGTCGGCTCTCTGCTTCAGACAGGGCAACGACGCCACCCAGGCGTAGCCCTGGCAGCGGACATTTTCACATGTCGGCTCAACAAATCTTGGCAAATGCCGCCTTCGAAGCGTGCGCAAACAGGGACGTGGTCCGAGTACCTGCGGCCAAACCACGTTTTAGACGGAACCCAGAACAGTCTTTGCTATCACACTGCCTATCCATAGTATGGGTTTAGTATGCGGAGCTGCCAGCCTCGGAGGAGTGTACAAGATGCCAGTGTGTGGGGACCGGAACTGCGAGTTGTTCAGCCGCATGTCATCCTTCTGCAAGCCCAACCCATCATCGTCGTCTTTCGACCCCCTCAGACGCCCGCACGCCTCCGTGTTAAGACAATCACAGCACCGAAGAGACAGAGCTCATTGAGAAGTGATGTCGATGTGAGCAAATTGGCAAAGCAACTCGAAGTTCCAACTCTTGGGCAAGCAGCGGGGGCGCTGTGCCAGGCCCCGAAGCATGTTGCAGCGTTTTTCGCCGCCTGAGCAACAAGGCACTGGATGCTACGCCGAAGTCTTCCGAAATCCCCAGCTAGCCTCTGCTGTCTCGGCTGCATGTAGCGACGATGAGCCGGCTAGATCCGAGGTCGGAGTCCTCACCAGATGCTTCTGCCTTGGCAGACGGTCTGTTGCTGCTTATGCCCAGGGACGCAAACTTGCGGCGCCCCCGCTGCATTGCTTCGCTGAGCTTGTCGCATAGAAGTATCGCAAAGGATATAGTCCAGGCGTGCCCCAAGGTTCAAGAAGCGCGAATTGGCGATGTGATTCCACTGCGTATACCGCCCCAGGCAAGCGGCTCCATGGCAGAGTGCGAAGGTGTCAACGAAGGCTTCGCTGCCTTCGCCTTCGCAGCTCTGGCTCAGCAGGGCTAAAAGCCAGTCCACACACGGAGCCTCTCTCCTGACATGTCAGCGACTGCAGGCAGGTATAACAGGCGTTTCTCTGTCCATACTAGTAGCTTCTGTCAATGCCTCAGCTCAATTTGGTCCAGGAGTCACCCTGTGGGGAAGCGAACCCTCCACCTCCAGCTCCTCGAAAGGCACACCGAACTCGAGCAGTACCAGCTCATCGCTAAGGCCTTGTTCTTATGAAAGCAATCACGGAAACAAGGGTCGAGGCTTGCAGTAGGCATACAACCGAAGTCTGCCACAGGCGCCTTCCAGGAACCGCAGGGGGGGGTCGTCAGATGAAACAGCCGTGCTGCACCAGAGCTTGGGTAAGGACGATCGCTCGACCTTCGTCTCAGAGCCCTTGATCCTGGTCATCGCCGTAAGGACACGACCCGGGGGAAGCAAGGGCATGTCTGGTGGCAGATGATTCGGAACTCTGAAGCCCGTCGGACAGTGCACCAAAGCTTTCAGACAACTCTTGGCGTTCTCCGCTGTCATCGTCACTTGTGCCTGCATAGCTTTATGGGCAGCTGCCACGGATATGTGAGATCCAGGCGTAGCGTCCTCCGGCAATGCCCAGTCCTTCTTGCCACATACACAACCCGCCTGAACTTTGAGGTAAAGGCGAGCAGGTGCTACATCAGCTGTGCGGTATGTAAGGTTCAGATCACCACAGACCAAGACCTGCTTGCCAAGTCCTCGAACTTCCTCGATGCGCATCTGGAGGAGGCGCAAGAATTTGACCTTCCGCTGCAGCCTTTCTTCATTGACACTACCGTCCTCTTGCCACTGCGCTGTGGGGACATATACGTTGAAGATGGCGAGGCCGCCCAAGTCCACAAGTAGACAGCGGCCTTCCTTGTCCATCTCATCCCGCAGAACTGCCTGAGTGGCTCGTGCCTGCGGAGCAAGCTCTTTCCGAATCCATGTTGCCACTCCGTTGAAACCGGAGACACTGCCCTCTTGTTCGTTGAAGGACCAGAAACTCTGATAGGCACCTGTCTTAGAGATAGCACCCAGTTGCTGGCATTGTTCCCGGGTCTTCAGGTGACTCTCGGTGATGCGAGTCTCCTGAACACAGATTATGTCAGCCTGATGTCGTTCGAGAAACAAGTCCAGGCTGCCGAAGTGAGTCTTTATGAGGTCGTGGGTCCTCCAACAACAGCACAGCGAAATCAAAGCGTTTTTGAAGAAAGGGCCAGTGTATCTTCTAAGCTGTCCTCGAAAATCCACAAGAGTTCCAGGAAACCACCAGCAGCGAATCTGCTGTGGCAGCAGCAAGATTTGCTTTGGCTGCTGGCGCTCTGTAGGAACCCATTCCGACTCGACTTTGCAGTTCAGCGCCCTACAGCTTGGACAGTTTGCTCCTTACGCCTTGTCACCTTGTGCCCTGCGCAGGTTTCCTTAAAATGGGGCGGGTAAGTCTTGTCATTGAAAGAAATGCGACAGACATGCTGCATGCTCTTTGCTTCGACTTCGAGAGCTAAAAGCTGCCAACTCCAGTCAGAGGTCGCGAGACGGGATGGCAAAGCGCGGAATCCGCCTCTGGCAGGTGATAGGCGACGCCCAGGCACCTGACATGGCAAAGCACCAAGGAGCTCCACAACTTCGGATCACGAGAGCCTCCTCGTCCCACCATGACCATCCTCGATTCTCAAGGCGTCCGGGAGGAGCACCCTCGGTAGTCCATTGGTGCGACCGCTTGCCGACACAGCAGACGCTAGCATAAGAAGGCTCGGAGCCGACACAGGTCCAGCATGCGACCGAGCTGCTGGATCGCGTGCAAGGGCACGGGGCGAGGATGGCGCGTTCCTGCTTGAGGTGGCAATGGCAACTGGTGTTGGGCCCCACTAGGTAAGGATCTACGGATCACTGATCACATGTTACGGGCTTTTGCTGTCAAATACCCTGCTCCATTCGTGTCTAGGATCATGGTGCCAAGATGCTGAGCAGAAAAGGATTAGCGCGATTCAGGGTATCATGGAGACTTGATCTGCGGAGGCAGCACAAGCGCAGTGATGCTAGTTGGGGCCGTCATCAATCAGGCGTGTCGGGACAAGCGACTGATTATTCACATCGGCGTCGGGCTTTTTTTCGGGGGTTTGCCTCTTCAGGTCCGGATGCTTCATGTTGCAGACTGTCAGCTTTGTTGCACTGTACCCATCCATAATTGAACCCAGATCTGCCCGAGGTTCTGGCACGGATCTCGGAGAGGCCACAGCCTCTACCCAAGACAAAAGCCGCAGTTTGGTTGCATGGGCAATGAAAAAATGGCCTGCCTTGGATGGTTGGTAAAGGCCGATGGGTCTTGATGGCTCCTGAAATCTGGGGGAAGCCCACATGCGGTGAGCTGGCCGTCTTGCACGAGGGAATTCGTAAGAGCGTCGCCAGCATTGGCGGCGGTGGCGGCGAAAGCCTTTCGAACCGTGAACTTCTTGCTATGAAGAAACTATCAGCAGAAGTGAATGCCACGCCGCTGATGGGCAGGGATGATCACGTCAACCATAGGCTTGCGAGCTTCTGGAAGGGCCCTGCACTGAAGCTGTGAGCATGAGATCGCCCTCGAATCAAGAAAGGGGTGTGGGCCTGCGATCGCCTCCGTTTGCCTGCCTCGAAGTGATACTCGAATTCAAGTCATCACCCCGGGCCTCGGGCCGTGCCTGAAGGGCCATTCCCTCGATTGCCAGAGTGGAGCCTGGATGGGAGCTCCAGGCCCTCCTGCAAGGCCTCCAAACTGGAACTTCTGCAAAGCACCCGATCCAGTCGCACTCAGGTCCGTGGGCTCCTGGCCTGGACCTCTTCGAGGCGACAGCTCCTGTCGTTCAAGCCAGCCTGGCGTGGCACAGCATGGCAGGCCAGGCTCTCAGAAACATCGCAAACAACTGCTGTTTTTTCACCCAGCCTCTGCAATTGCTAGCCTCCGCCGCAGCCTGCGATCTCAATCTCTTGCGCGAGCCGTAAGCAGCTCCCACCAAGTCAAGGAGGCCTGTCTTGCTGCACATGCAGCCTGTCTGCCAGGGCTCGCAGACTTCCTGCACAGAAACCACGCGGCCGTAGAAGTGACAGAGAGCTTCTCCTCAGTCCTCCCCTTGCCTGGGACTCCACGAGGCGCTTCCTGAGCCACTGCGCAGCTCACCTGCCGGCACACGAAGCGACGAAGCAGTGAAACACAAAATCAGGTTCTCTCTCAACTCTGCCGCTCACCTCGTTGGGCCGAAGCTGCCTGATAAGCTGCATCAGCCCGCTTGAGTGCAGATCACAAGGATCCTTGCCTGAAAAGCTCTCATCTCCGGACCACCGCGAATCCAACCTCCAAGCAGACTGCGGCTCAGGATCACTGCTGGCACAAGTGTTACACTCCCCTGCCTGGCTGAGGCTGCAGGATGAAGTCCACAAGCTCCTCCGCTCTTTACGCGGGAATTTTCACTGGATCCTCTGTACTGGCAACTTGCCATGCAAGCGACGAAGCTCCTCGGCAGAAGCTGCGGGGAGGCTGCCACTCGTCCAATTGCTCTCTAAGCCCGCGCGACGCAACAGCGCTTCGCAGCGTACATCGTCGCATACCTCCCATGCACTCTGAGCAGAAGCTTTCTAGCAAGGACAACTGCAACCGTGCCTTCAGGCGATCCACCAGCAAGTGGCAAGGCCCACCCGGAGCTGTCAATAACGCCTCCTCGCAATCGGGTATAGGTCAGCCTTCGGCCCCTCGGATATCACCGACAGCTGGACAGCTGGGGCCAAAGACAAGAGACCTCCGGTGCGGCTGCAGGTCTGCAAGGCGACGCCTCTGAATTCCGAGACCTGAGCTCAGTGGTTCGAGTCCGGCTGCTTGGCCAGCCGCCCTTGAAAGCACGCGGCGTGCCATCAGATCGCCCTCACCTTCCAGCAGGCGGCAGAACCTGCTTTGGATCAGCTCCGCTCAGAGGCCGCTCAGACTCTCAGCCGCGGCCTGTAAGCGACTTCGCTTGGGATGTGCTTCGACTGACCTCATCTCGTCGAATCTGCTGTGCTCACGGCACGCGGGATACAGTCAATCGTGGGGCCTCCGCGACAGGTGCCTCGCAGCAAAGTGGCCTCCTGCAACAAGAAAACAGATTCCGCGCATTTAATAACCCTCGAGGTTCGTAATAAAATACGTAAAGCACGACTGGCTGTGTGTGTGTGTGTGTGTAACCGCAGGCCTTCAGCCATGAGTTCGCTGGATCTCGTGGCAGTACCAAGAGGAGGAAGCCATTGTGACCTGACGCGACGATTTGCTGCATTCCGGGTCAAGCCCAGCAGGGATCGCTTGTCGATGCTGGTCGAGCAGATTGCCTAAACTCTGCTCTGACATAGTGAGTGCATGGCGAAGCTCGGCGTGAGGATTGAGTACAGGTGCGAGCACGGCCGCCACCTCACGCACTTGGACATGCCATCCAAACACCACGTTTGTAAGATGTTATAGATCACTCGATGACGGGCATCAACCACTCTCCGATGCCCCTCGAAGGCACCCGACACTGTGCCTCCTCCAGAAGTAGGCCAGCAGCACTATGGAGCTGTTGGCCGAGCCAGTTGAACACATCGTGGACACTGACCCAGCCCTGGAGGAGAAATCATGTCAGAACAGGCACTCTAGAAATCAGCCCGTCCACCTGATGAGCAGACGACCATTTCCCAAAGAGGCTCCTCGCGAGGGCCATGGGAGACCCGCGTGCCACCAACAAAAAAGAATAGTTTTCATGACTGACTGCGCGGTCATGAAAAACTCATTCGGATCGAACTCACGCAGCTCGCAGAGGCGACATCTTGCCTGGCAGTCGCTTGGCTGAGTCGTTTCAGTGCCCGGCCGCAACAAGCCCTGTCTGACCTGTCTTTGACGGTTACAAAGTCCAACTTGCGTTGCCTGCTCCAAAGCCAGTTCCCCTTCTGCAGCCACCTCCAGAGAGCAGGATGCTTGGTATAATTCGCCGTGGGGGTGTACGGAAACAAGTCTATGGAATGCTGAGTGACGATAACATCACAGATTCCTTTTGTTGAACCCTCATGCCTTTTACCTTAGCAGGAGATACCACATCACAGATTCTACGGTTCGGGCTTTAGGTTTGGGGTGGGGGTTTTGAGGTGCAGACTCTTTGGCTTTGGCTTCGTGCGCAGCCGCCTCTGCAGCCTTCGCCTGCGTGCTTTGGCCCTCAATGCCTGGGCCTGGCTGCGGGTCTCGAACTGAAGCGGACTGAGAACACGAAGCCGAAGGGAGGAGCCCGAAGCAAGGAAGCAGGCAGGGAGCAATGGGAGGTGGAAACTCTGAAACCCAAGCCGAACGCCCGAAACCTCTCGGCCCAAAGACCACGACAGTTTGCAAATGTGTCTCCTGCTTCGGATCGGGAAAACTGCCCCTAGGCATGAGGACATGGGACGGACTTTCTGCGGTGCCTTTGCATCGACCTATCTACGATGATTGGTGCAGAAGCTGAGGGTTCGGGGCAAGGGGTGTAAGGCTTATGCAACGTGGTGTCACGCGGATTCAGATCTCCTGTCGTCATGCTCTATCAGGCTTTTAGTGTACAGGAGATTCCATCCGAGAAAGACCACAGCGTCATGCCCAGTGCAGGTACGAATGCTTCCGAGCTTACCCAGAAGTAAACTCCTCGAGGTGTGGAGGAAATCATGCCACAAAGGATTTATACTGTCAGTGCTATGCTATGCAGTTGCGGGCGAAGACCAGCCACGTGCAGGAAGCTTTTGGGCTTGCCGTGGAGTGAATTCGGCTGTTGGTGCTCCTGGGACCGCTCTACAGCTGCTGCTCCACTCAATGGCTTGTCTTCCTGTTTGCTTCAGCTGCGAGCTGCGAGCAGCGGAGCACTCAAAGGAGGAGCCCATAAAAGAAAGCTCCCAAGAAACCGGGCACAGGCTGACACGACTGCAAAAGGGTTTTGGATTCATGGCTCACTTCGACGGAATGTATCCTTGATGAGATTGTCGTATAACCGCACTATTGTCAGCAGGTCCGGGCTAGCTCAGCAAGGCAAGGCACGGCATAAGCGTGCCCTCACACGAAGTGCGCTTTTCCTTTCCGACAGTGCTTGAGTTTGCCGTGCCCGTGATCTCGCCATGGCCCTCAAACAATCAGGAAGCCCCGAAAACTCTGGGCCCTAAAGCAAACACGCCACAGCAAGAAACCTGGAAAACACACTCAACGAAACTGGATTGAAGCGCAACGTCATCCGACTTCTCCTCTGAAACCTCAGCTTGAACATACTGTAAGTCTCTGGCCTGAGGCTGACGGCTTGCTCCGAATCCCTGAATCGTCCGAATCTTCAGGTCTCGTGTAGTACTTCCTGGTTTGCATCTCGATGGTCCTCAGACTTCCAACCCTGAAGATGCCGCTCTTGGGCCCAGCCACGATGGATCGGCAGCAAACCCTCGTCGGAGGGCTTGCGATTGAAGCGCACGGTTCCTGGCACCGGCTAAAGCTCAGGAGCAGAGGCCGTCGCATGCCGCATGCTCATGCTCCATACGGCCAACTGAAAGCAGGCAGCAGCAGGCAGCGGGTGTTTTACTTTCGAAACCCCTCGGCATATACCCCTCACACGGCCCTCTTACACGTGAAGGTTTCAAGTCCAGGCTTAATCGCACCTATTTACTCTAAACCCAAGAATCCCAGACAGGCCCCAAAGAAGATCCAAGTTGATCCGAGTTGCAGAGGAGCAGTCTATCTCTCAGGAACCGAACTCCGCCAATCCCAAGCCTAGGAGTACGGCCACACCAAAGCAGCCAGCACCCAGGATCTGTGGCAGCGGGCGCCAGCCAGCGGGACCAGCACCTGCAAAGGGGGGGTTGGAGGCTGCAGGAAGTGGCTCGCTCCGGCTGCTTGGGTTGATTCACCATTAGCTCAAACTAGGCTCTAACATTGATGCATCTCACTGCCCAATCCAAAAGTTCCACAGTTCCTGCACAATCTCCTGAGGTCTCACACCCTTAAATAAAAACCTTCTGCAGGAGTGCGCCCTTTGCCTGCCCTACATCCTTGATGTGGACGGTGTAAAAATCACACTTTTCCGTTTGTCCTGCACATTCAAGCATGCCCTGAACCCTACTTTTAAGGGCAGCGGGCTTAATAACTAGATACATAGGTTAGTAATCGATTGTACACTTTAGTGGAGATAGCTGATTTAATATAGAAAGTGACCTAAGTGCAGTTAGGGAGTTACAAATAAAGAACTTAGCCAAACACAGTTAACCTTTAGCACTCCTCAAACAAGACCCGATGAGCATATAAACCCACGAAGATGCCCATGAGGATGATGAGCAATCCCTCGCCATGCAGGGCGATTCGCTCGCAGGCAGGTACAAAACCATGAGAATGATCACATGTAGAAGCATGAAGATACATATGTCGCTATGCAGGGCGATTCGCTCGCATGCA